TGGAAAACAAATGTAGGTATTTTTAATGGGTCACAGCCACATATCAATTCAAATTTAATGTAATTGTAATTTAACATAATCTTGTCGGTTAACGGTTAATAATGGCTTAAGGACCGTCGGTTGTCTGTTAGGAGAAATAAAATAACCGAAATGAACATTCGTTTTCCAATAAAAGTTAATCAGAAAAATAATAATAATAATACAACCGCACCTGCTTATGAATATTGCTTGATGATCAAGTATCTAAATAGTCTATTACAAAGTACAAAAAAAAATAATGAAACTTGTTAATAAAAATAATTTTATGTAGGCCTATACAATTTAATAATAGGCTATATAATAAAGTTTTTAGTGTTTCAAATGGATGAAGAACAGGCTACTAGCCTATATAATTTGCGCAATAGGTGAAATTATGTATGGAAACAGCTCAGTTTTTTTTACGCATATTCTCTTTATCGATAACAAAACCGGATGGTTTCATTTTCCGGGCTCATCTGCTTGCCTATATAAAGTATGCATCAACAATAAGGTGTGTACTGAATTTGATCTTTTAATATCACTGTTTTAAATACATTAAGGCACTTAAGTGTTTTTCACAACGTTTTGTTGCGCGGTTTTTAGTGATTGAAATATTGCAGCGAGTGCTTAATATGGATTGCAAATTGCCAAAACTTGCATTTTGTTCACATATCTTTGTTTTATTCGTTTGAGAGGTGATCTAAATATTTGCGGCTTGGAAACAGATGGAAAATTGACTAGTTTGTGCTGCAGTTCTATGGATGTTTTGTGTTCGAGCCGGTCACGTGACTGAAAGCTATGAATAACCTCGTGGTTAGTGCGTCGACATACAGCGCAACTGTGCTCACGGCGACCCGAGTTCGAATCCCCTCTCTCGACCCAATGCTTTCCCCACTCTACTGTCCTATACAAAATAAAAAGGCATAAAAGTCCAAAAAAGAACTTTAAAAAAAGAACATTAGAATTTCTGATGCTTTCTATTGTTTTTTTTTCAGCAGGGGTAATTAAGACGGTGTTTTAAGCCCCGTTCACACCAAGGACGAAAACTATAAAGATAACGATAAAGATATAGTTCTAAAAATCGTTCTCAGTATTAAAGAATAGCAGAGTCCACACCACAGCTAACGATAAAGGCACAGAGAGATGATATCGTTGGAATCACGTTTAGAACGATTTTTTTTCAAGCTGATGAACGATAAAAACATTGACACCCAATCAGAATCCATCCTGCTATAATTTAAAGCGGCAGATGAGCGTACGCTTAAAATAAACTTAAATAGTGGACGCTAATATCGTTATTTTTATAATTATCTTTATAGTTATTAAATTCAAAAAGTTCCATTAACTATTGGTCAAAAGTTTAGACTCACCTCACACTGTATTTTTATAATGATTGAAAATGCCACTTTAGCTCAAGGCTTATTGATAAATTGCTTTTGTAGACAAATACAGTGGCCTCAAAAGTATTGAGACACCTACATTGAAAATGTCTGAATGTCATTGCAGTAGATAAGAACATATCAAACAAAGTGGCATTTATTTCAAAGAAGCACATGTATACTTTAAAATAGCACGCAAGTCAAATTAATCTGGCCAATATGGGACCATGCACTTTTTAAAAATTCACTTTATTTTTTTAATTCTATTTTATTCATATTAAATTATATTATTATTATTTTTAAATAAAATAGCATACCATATCAATTAATTTGTTAATTTTTGGCGAATATGATACATGCATATACATAAAAATTTTATATAAAATAGTATACTTGGCAAAACATTTTTAAAAAATTATGTTTTTAAACTATAAAATATATTAAAACTTGATACTATTTTAGTTTGATGATTAATGTGATGAACTCCACCTATTCTGCTCAGACACATGTGTGAACGTGAGGAGAACTGACTTCACACATCCAATTAAAATCAATAAAACGCCAGCTTATTCAAAGACATAAGCAAAAAAAGAAGAAAAGGGAATGTTAGCGAAGAGAAAAGATCCTTTAAAGACACTTGCTCTAATATTTTTTTATTCTCTAATGCAGTAATAATCAGGCATGAAGTGTAACTTAGATGTCAAATACATTTTGGGGTCACAGTTTGCATTGTGCATAAACTTAATTTAACTGAAAAGGATAGAGAAAGAAAAGCACCATCAATGCTCATGTTCCTCCTTCACTCAAAAGTAAAGGTTCTTTATTGGCATTGATGGTTTCATGAAGAACCTTTGACATCAAAAAGGTTCTTTATAGCGGAAGAACGTTCTTAAGATAATTAAAAAAATTCTTCACACTAAGAAAAAATGACTGAAAAGTCATTTGAGGAACCAAAAAGGGTTCTTCATGGCATCACTGCAAAAATCCCATTTCGGAGCCTTTATTTTTAAGAGTGTGAAATCTTTCCATTCCATAAAAGGTTCTTAATAGTGGAAGAAGTTTCATTGTAGATTTTGATAATATTCTTCACATTTTCTGTTGCACAACAGGTTCTATAGAAGAAAAGGGTTCTTTAGAATATTAAAATGTTCTTCACACTAAGAAAAAAATGGTTCTTTTTAGAGCTATTCACAGAAAGGGTCTTTAGAGACCAAAATGGTTCTTCTATGGAATCACTGTTTAAACCCCCTTTTTAAATCTTTGTTTTTAGGAGTGTTTAGTAGTGTTTGAAAACATCCCAGGATGCACCTCATGAAGTTGAATGTCTGACGAATGTCGAAAATAAGCAGAATAAAGTGCTTACTTGTTTGAGTTTTGATCTCTAATTCCTTATATTTCCCCCATAGTTTTGATGACTTTACTTTTACTCTAAAGTGTGAAAACCGTAATAATGAAGAATGAGTAGGTGTGTCCAAACTTTTGACTTGAAGTACTTCAGGCTTTTGTTTTGAAAGTGAAGCCCATCAAAGTTTCTCTGTCTCTCTCTGTTGCAGCATCTGCCCTGAGGATGAACAGATGTAGGCACCTGTGTTTAGGGCTCACACATCCCCCATCCTCCTTTTCTTCTCCCTCTCCTCCCTTATAACCTCCTCAATCCTCCTCAGAAGGGCCCACAAAGGGGTAAAAGAGGAGGAGGGGGCAGTAACTATACCCCCTGCTCTATACCTCCATCACCCCCTCACGTTCCCTGAGGACACAAGCTCTCTATGAGCCTTTGTCATGAGCACTATCTTCCAGACAGGCCCAAACAATCTGTTGCAAGATGATTGCTCATTTCCAAACAACGCTGACAACACAGGTGTGTGTGTGTGTTTGGGGTGCATCGCATGCATTCAAGTTCATTTATATGGGACGCTAAAGCTCTCGAGTGTCACACTGGATGAAACACATGGTGCGTGATGGGACACACTAGGCGTGATTGTAGGTTACAAGAGCTGCAGGTATAGTAATCACGCTCCCCAACACACTTCTGTAACAAACTTGAGTGTTGAATGTCAGCGTCACACCCTCCAAAAAGTGACCCGCCCTCAACAAAGCCACAGAAAAACAGAAAAACTAAGATCAGCCTTTTTAAGACAAAGCTGGTGGCAGGTGTTGAGTGTGTCAGTGGTAAGATGAAGCTCGTGGGAAGAGCTTCATCACAAAAGGACTTGTTTTCCATGCACGCACTGATCCGGAGTCAGCGGTCGAAGGCCGTCCTCTGACATCTCATCCATCACTGCTCAACATCAGATATGACTCTAGATCAGTGACGCAGACACGCACACCATGATGCTCATGTTTATATTCACCTTTAAACGAAACAACTCAATAACTGTCGAAAACCAGCCCGTGTTTCTTACGATTGTTTAGTGAGGATTAGGAATGATGCATGCTGCAGGCCAATCAATCTGTCAGTTTTCAGTTAATTTTTTATTTAATTTTATTTCTATGAACTTAACATGTTTTTATGAAATGCATGCATATATATTTAAATTTTAGTTGTTTGTTTATATATTTTTATTGTTAAAATTCAAAGTTTATATATATACATACACACATACATTACATATATATACAGGTATATATATATATATACACATATATATGTGTATAATCGATATCTATCAATTTAAAATAACTGTTTTCTATTTTATCATACTTTAAAATATAATTTATTCCTGTGATGCAAAGCTGAATTTTCAGCATCATTACTCCAGTCTTCAGTGTCACATGATCCTTCAGAAATCATTCTAATATGCTGATTTATTATCAGTGTTGTAAATTTACATGTTTTAATATTTAATATTTGATTGCACCTGTTGACAGCAGGTGTGGAGTCAGTTCTTTTAGGTCAGACTGGACTTAAGTGTGTCTTTTTTTGTCTTCCTGTTGCACTCTAACCCGTTCTCTCTCTATTTTTCTTTTTTCCCCCAGCGTTTCTTCACTGTGCACCTGTTGTGAGCTCTTCAGGAATTCTCTTTTACACGTCAGTCGCTCGGGGACAAACAGGGATCCTGACGGTGAGGGGGTGAGGCGCTCTTTCTTTCTCAGCACTCAGCCTTCTCTTCCTCCACTGTTTTTCTCTGGCCTTCCTGCATTCTGTCGCTCTTGTGCTCTCTCTGTAGAGGTCTTAGACCCCTGCCCCGTGAATGCTGAAATCTCTGTACGGTACTCAAACATTACTTTTCATTGTGCCTTATTAAAACAAATTGTTCAAAAATGATTGTTTAAAGGGTGTGCAGAGACAATTTAATTTTGCTTCTCCACCTTTTCTAATAGTTTTCTAATCTTATGCAACCTAGCGATCCAAACATGTTTATGTGTTTTTACCTTTATTTAAATTAGTTACTTAAATTTGTTATGTCTGTAAGATATATCAAATATTTTATATTAAATTAAACATCTATTACATTTATTACAATTGTATTTATAATTATATTATATTTGTAAGAGAGAGCGCGAGAGAGAGAAAGAGAGAGAGAGCGCCAGAGAGAGCGAGAGAGAGAGAGAGAGAGAAAGAGAGAGCCCTTTTGGGCTCTGTCTTTACATTTATTTTGAAAGATGAAGCTCGCGATTATGGTAAGGG